GCTGGAGCTGCTGGGACTGAATGCAAGGCGAGTGCCTTTGTCTCGAGTCGCCTGTAATCGCCCTCCCCTGCCTCTCTCTCTCTCTCTCTCTCTCTCTGCACCCTGTCCCCCCCACTTCACCCCCTTCTTTGCCCCCACCCTCTCTCCTCTCCTCACCCGCTGTCGGTCACTGTGCGCCCGGGGGCCGTGGGATCGGCAGCTCCTTTATAAACATTATTATCACGCTGGGTCCCCCCCCCCTTCCTGATCTTCTGCTCTACCCCCGCTCCTCCCCTCTACTTCCTTCACGACTCCTTTTCCAATCACATCAGCCTCCCCCGCCCCCTCTCCCCACCATGCATCACTTTTGCTCCGAGCTTATATTTACTCTTCTGTCGGTCGTCTGCTGCGTTGGCTCAAGATCTGCTCCCTCCCCTGCCCCTCTCTTGCCTGCCTTTCCCCCTTTCTCGGAGCTCTATCCTCTTCAATTTTCAGTTATTCTGTTTAGTTTGGTGGTAAGTACTTCCCGCTCGGCTCGGCTCCGCCGCTCTCCCTCTGCTTCGCGTCGGGGCTGTGGCTGTGTAGTGACGCGACGAAAGGGGTCTTTTCCCAGACTTGGCCTACACCCATGCTGTATGATAACATCCTGGTTTTCACCTGACGATTAAACGAACCAGTTTCTACCACACGAGCCGCGCGCGGGGGGCCAGAGCGTCATGTCGCCGCGACCACCTGTTGCATCTCAATTCCACATTACCTCAGTACCACCAACACAACACAAGTGACGTTACGTCTTACGTTACGTCTTACGTTACGTCTTACGTTACGTCTTACGTTACGTCTTACGTTACGTCTTACGTTACGTCTTACGTTACGTCTTACGTGACATCTTACGTTACGTCTTACGTTACGTCTTACGTTACGTCTTACGTTACGTCTTACGTTACGTCTTACGTTACGTCTCACGTTACGTCTTACGTTACGTCTTACGGTACGTCTTACGTACAACTAAAAATGTTGACTTCTTCATTTACATTAGGATATATAATTTAGTTGTCTTTAGCAAGGGTTCGTTTCACAGTTTACACGAAGTGTTAACGTTTTTTTCGAAGCAGAGGGTTTCAAGGCACGTTCTGGGACTTTAACGGTCGATATTGAAATTGTGCTTTCGTCTCCTGAAACCCAAGAAAAACTCTTAACCTGTGTGGGGGGTAGGCACAGTGACAGAGTAGTAAAGCATGAACATGCGTGTCTAGATTTATAAAACTTCAGTATCCTCACCTATCTCTTAAAAACCCTTACATGATGGATGGGCGAATGCAATGTTGTTCAGTTTCTCTCGTCTAACGTGTTCCTTTTCTCTCTCGTGTGTTCCAGGTACGAGCCGTCACCACCACCGCCAGGCTGCCCCTCTCCCCTCTCTCTGGGGAGGACTTTCCTCGGACTTATCCCCCGGTCCTGGTGGACCCCCTCCCCCCCTTCCTCTCGCGCCCTTGGGAGGCAGCCGTGGGTGGACCAGCCAATCAGGTCAGGACAATACGGCCGCGCAGTGATTGGTCGGCTTTGCGCCAGGACAATGAGTCCCGGGTTCGAATCCACCTCACTACTCTTTCGCATCTCCTTCTTGTAGTTTTTTTTTCTTTGGTTATGTTGTTTTTCTCCCGGCGGGATTCACTGTACAGTCAGTAAATTTACACAGCCTGGGGAAGGAAGTTGAGGCAGACCAGTTAGTTGGTGCAGAGTCTAAATCCGAAATCTATGAAATAGAGTTGGAAAAGCCCCGATAGGATTGAAGGAAATCTATGTTAACTACTTTTTCCCGTGTCGTAACCAGGGCGATTCTTTATTTTATTTGTGCCCGCGTTTTACTAGTTTTCTGCGAAACTGCTCAATGACTGAGACCACCCGCGAGGTCCCTGCGAGCAACAAATAAATAACTGCCTTCGAGTTTGAGACTCTCGAGGCGGGGTGGGGCAGGGCGGAAGCGCTGGCCCTTATTCCTTATTCATCGCTCGCCCAGTCGCGGTGGTGACAAAGTTGTTTGCAAACGATCACATCCAGCCAGCGCTCCCCC